CAAGAATTGCGTAAGAGAAGAGATGTCGTAAGTAACAATAACACTTTTTGTTCTTTCTAAAAGAGGGCTTGGAACTGGGCTCTCTTCACAGCCCTTAACAGCATCTGAAGAGATTTAATCAGCCAGCGTAATAACTTCAATCGATAGAAAAATCTACCAAGACCTAAAACAAAGAATACCATCTCCGCCCAACAACCCCATGCCGAAAAAAGTAGCCATTTCAAAAGCCTTTTCGGCTAGGGAATTTCTTTCCTCAGCGATTCGATTGAGTTGCTTTTCCGTAATACGTAAAAACTCCCAATATCGGTTATCCTTCCCATAAGCTTCGGCTAATGGAAAAGATAATCTTTAAAGGAATAGAACCCCTGGTTGGAACCCAGCCCCCTCCCCCGATTCATTTGGTCCGACAAGGAGAGTGGAAAGCCTTAGTGGGATCATCGAAACACACAGGCTGTAAGGCGGAGCGAATCCGGAAAGATTGCCTTAGTTTGGATTGCTCTCTGCAACTCGAGAACATGAAGTTGGAATCACTAGTAACCTTGACAGGGCGGTGCTCTGACCGATTGAACTACAATCCCAGGAAAATTAGGTGTACAACCTAAAATCAATTTAGATTCGAGCCATTTAGTTTCGTTGTGTTGTAAGGCTGAGTCTTCTCTGAACCGCAGGAGATAGTTGCCCATCATACGACTCACCAACTTCACTTGCCTTTATGGGAGGCTCACTCCGGGCAGGTTCGGATCACCTTCCCCTGAACTGGAGACAGAACTTTCTTATTCAACTATGGGGGTTAGGGAATGAAAGATAGCTCAACACGTTTTCGTGTGGGACGATACCGGGGAGAGAGGGGAATGCGTCAAGGCATTCGATCTTCTATAGCGACTTTCGGACCATTCCATTCATTGTCTTCTTCTCAACCTCTCCTCGGTCACTGAACTGGGTTACTGAACTCCACCTTCTCGGAATCCCATTTCAGAAAGTCAGGTCGAAGGCAAATGGATTCCCTTGCTTGGGCAATAAAAAAGTCGTAAGTACATAAGGAATTCTCCTGTCTCTGAAAAAGATAAAGCTAAAAGCAATCTCTGGTATAGATATTGATATTGACCCGCCTCTACGGGAGGTGGGTGGGGATCAAGAGAAGGAAAGTCGGGCATATCATACTCTTCAGGGATTGTGTTATGTCAATTTTCTTAGTGAATTTCTTGCATATCCACCCTGAAAGCGAGAGCTCGAGGCGGTGGGAAAAGAGAATCAACAAGATCGGATGCTCTTGCTCCTGAAAACAATAATAAAGCAACCTTCTTCTTTAGAACAGACATTCCATTCTTGTTTTCCCAGCACTGACCTCTCTGGTCGAATGTTAGAGTCGGCTCCCTGTCTGGTGTGGTCTTCCGCTTCACACAATAGCACGCTCCGAAGCAAGCCCAGTCTATAAGTGGTGGAAACATAGCTACTATTTATCCTAATTTAGCTTAGGATGTTAAGGTTTCCAAGGAGCACGGATGAGGCGAAGCATCGATCCAACTACATACCAACGGAAAGCCATTACGGGCGGTCGTATCCCATCGTATTCAATCCTGATCTTTCTTATCCGAGAGTCTTATCAAACTCTCTGCCATTGTAGGTGCGACACAGGTAGTAGTGACTGAAAGAGTTGTTGATTACAAACCAACTTCTTCTTGCTCTTAGCTGCTTTCTCCGTGTCACCTGATGTGGCAAGAGAACCTGAAAGACCGAAAATAATTGTTTAAAAGTCTCTTGCAAGACTTTTTCAAAATAAAGCGGTTCGTACCTTCGGAACAACCAGAATAGGAACAGTGGACCTAAGCAAAGGAAAAGATCGACCGTAAAGAAGAAGGGGATTACCAAAGGAAATTCCCAAACAAGACAAGAATTGGATGGCAGGCACAATTCTTACTAGTTCTCCGCACAACTTTTGTGCAGTTGAAGACTATCATGCCTGTTTAATGAAAAACTGGTTGTCGAGCGGATTCTTCCCCCAACTAACGAAGAGATCTTGGCGGAATTGCCATATATGAAATTGAGCACAGTTTTGCAAAGAAATAGCTCTCTCTGAGAGAGTGATCCGCTACGTGAGCAACCCGACTGTGCCTTACATGTGCTCTACAGCTACTTAGAAACCTAAACGATGGATGCTTTTCCCCCGTCTTCCCAAACCAATTTACCTATTTGAGATGTTTCCATGTGTGGCTCGCTCTCGGTGATATTAGGCACTACCTCATTTGGGCTGGAAATAATATAACTGTCCATAAAACAAATCATTGCTTTAGTTTTTCAGGAAATTTCCAAACGAACAATTTCAACGAAATCTTTCAATTTCTTATTTTACTATGTTCAACTTTATGTATTCCTCTATCCGTAGAGTACATTGAATGTACAGAAATGGCTATAACAGAGTTTCTCTTATTCGTATTAACAACTACTTTAGGGGGAATGTTTTTATGCGGTGCTAACGATTTAATCTTCGTCGACTCTTGCCGCCTTCCTTAACAAGCCCTCGAGCCTCCTTTGTGCCGCCTTCTTCATAGATCTCTGATCCACCGATTCACCACTGAACGACTTTGGCTTTCTTTTTCTACTCGACCGATGAGGACAGAGGACCGAAACGTGCCACTGAAAGACTCTACTGAGACAAAGATGGGCTGTCAAGAACGTAGATGAGGTAGGATGGGCAGTTGGTCAGATCTAGTATGGATCGTACATGGATGGTCCTTATCCGGAAAGATATGTGGCCATGAAAGAGGGATTAAGTGGAATAGAATTGACTGGGTGGTAGAGTTGTGGAACGTTTGTTCTTCCCATTCTGCCTTCACCATGCCTACTCTGTAAAAAGGATTCTCCAACTGATGATTTTTCTGTTTTGGATGTGAAGGCGACTTCTTCCCTAGATTCATTCCTTCCTGAGTCAATTCCCTAAATGGTCACCCAAGTTGAGGGAATTGCCTTGAAATATCATTTATGTTTCATTTAGGACCAAAATATCACTCAACTATCACTATTTTCCTTCAAATATACTTGATACTTCAAAAGCCTCACTCTCTCCTAATTGGCATGACATGTCATTAAGATTTTTTTAAAAATAATAGACTAATTTAATTCATCAAACTCATTTAACTAAAATAATGATCGTATTATTTTTTTT